ATTATATAAAATAAAACAATTGATCTTCTTTTCAAAAAATTCTCCTCTCAAGAATATTCTATTTTTATCTAGAATGTTTAAATAGGTACTGTAATCTCCTGCATTGCATAAGTTCAGCTGTAAATAAGGTAGACAGTTTTACACAAGATTATTCAGTTAAAAATCTTTTGTGTTTTTTTTTATAGAACAGACAAATCCAATATATTCGCTAACAAGTAAAATTTTTTCTTCTTCTTTTACTATGCCTTTTAGTTGCTGACAACTTTTCCAACAACAACAAACAGCTTTACAAAAGAAATATACAGCAGAAAAAAAACTAATAAACTTGAAACAAACTTCCATGTCTCTAAGGATAATGTTTACACAAGTTAAAGTTACGATACATCTCTCTCTTTTTTCCCCTATTGAAGATTTTCATTAATGATTTTCAAAAAATTAGCATTATTTTAAGTTTTAATATATTCTAAAGCCTGTAAAAAACACATACTTGCCAAAATACACGTAGTGTTTGCGAACTAACTGCTTCAGCTCTTATGTTGAGTGGAGGGCCTCCAGGAACTGTTTAAAAATATATTTAATGAGAAAAATTACTACTTTCGTTTGGACGTTGTATTGCTTTCACACATGTTTACTTTAATATAAACAACATAATGTACTGGGCTGTATATTTTATTATTATTATTAAACTTATATTAACGTAGTAATTCTTCCGTTTTATATGTAAATTAAAATTAATTAAATGACCTTTCAACAAAATTTTTAACCATAAACTTTTTTTATTTTTGTAAGAAATTAGTCTTTAAACTATACACTTCCTCATAATTTCTATTGAACATTTCTGATTTATGGAAAATGTAGACTATAAACTATTAATTATAAATTATATCTAATTTAATGAGGCTAAATATGAAATGTATAAATAAAATATTAAGTTAAAACCTGTTTTTCCAATATCTAAGTTATGAATTTTAGTGTAATTTACGTCAAGTGTAGGCCTTCACCAGGAAATTTATTGCAATGTATTTAAAATAAATATAATTTAATAATTAAACAGAATTTTTATAGATTTATCATCTTTTAGATCTGATCAAGAACTATAAAACAAAAGGAAATACCTCAAATATAGATGGATATTTTCTAAACTTTCTTAGTCTCAGAAACATTTGTATAGAATCATTTATATAATATTATAAATTGATTAGCTATTATGTGCAGCTGCCTCTCTAAAAGTTCATTTATTATTGGATATCATTAATCTTCTGACGTGATTAATAAACGAGGACTAGATACTAGATATACTGTATCACCTCACCATTATAAATAGGTAGGATATAACAAATTTCTATATCAATTTATATTTTATATTACTTTCTGTAGTTCTTAATATATCTAAAATTTGTTATATTCGTTCATAACTTAGAAAAAATTATAAAACTGCTTGCTTAAAATTATAAACAAGTATAATTTTTACTTACTATTATTTTGCATTATTATATTATAAAGTATAAATTTAATTCCTCAAAATACAGATAAAATTATATTGTCAAATAGTCCTTTCTGGTTGTAAATTTGTCATCAAATACGAAATAAATAATTTTAAAGTGTCCCTATTGTTTTCTTTGTCACTTATATTATTAGCATAACTCTATATCAAAATTAATTAGCATCAGATATGTACAGTACTGTACGAGAATACCTATTTTGGACTTGAATACAGTCAAAGTTAATGTAAAAAATTCTTAAATACAAAAATATTAAACCAATTTTTACATAAATATACAAATAAAACAGATTTTATTGCTGCCAAAGTTATGAAATAGTTCATATTTTCTCATATGATGAATCATTTCAAGCTTAACTTCTAATTAGATTTTTTTTTTAACATTAAAGAATTTATTGAAAGAAGAGAGACAAATTTGTCTGCTACTTTATATGCACAGATTGATTAAATTTTAATACAATTCATCATAATTTGTGTAATATAACATCTCGTGTTCTGTTGTACAGGTTGTATATAGTAGTATACAAGCTGCTACAGGTTGTATATTGCAACACTCTGCAGTATAATGCAAACAAAAAGATCAATATTTTGGAAAGAGAATGTAGACAATACTTGGAATTTGAAAATATGATATAATCGATATAGACTATGTATTATAATTCAATGCAAGAGAAGAGTTCAAACTTTATAAATTAAAAAACAATTAAAAAGATTAATATTCTCAGTATACTACAATCAAGTATTAATTATACAGATTAAGAAACACTCTTTAATTGTATAAACTTTCCATATCTTAACGAACAGTTTATTCTTACATCTCTCTTATTAATTGATGTTACAATTATAACGATAATATTATTGTTATTATTTCAACACTCGCTAGATTTGTAATATCTTAAATAACATTTAAAATACTAATTTTTGATATGAATTATATGTGAAAAATTAATCAANAATTAATAGAAAAAAAATGATGCTAGAATAAAAATGTAATTATAATAAGTAGTGGCTTTCAACATTTATCTATCACCGCCGAAATTTATCGATTATTGAACAATGATAACTCTTTGCTGACTATAGAAGCAGATAGCTGAATCATCAACTCTATTTACATTCAATCTTTATAATAACAAAGAGAAAGAAGATATGGAATGAATAAAAATAATCGATAAAACTTTCATTTCCGGTATCAAAATTGCTGATAAAAAATAATAACTAATTAATTATACTTACCTTGTACAATAATTTGTATATTTAGATCATCTTTGCCGTAAGTATTTGCTGCTGTGCAAGTAAACAAAGAGGAATCTCTTCTATCAGCTGATGGTATGTTCAGTTCGGAAGTCATACCGTCATCGGTTAACGTGTCTTCAACCATATATCTGAAAAATTGAAAGGATTTTAAAAAATCCAATATTTTCTTCAATTTCTAAAACAAATTCCCTACTTTCTGTTTAACTGTCTGTCTAAAACTTGGCTATCTTTCCTCCATGTTACCGATAATGGACGATCGCCAAATGCTTGACATTTAATACGTATATTTTCACCTTTTCGAATTGTTTCTGCTTTAAATTCTTCTTTAAAATAAGCTGGAACTATAAAAGAAAATTAAAAACAAAATTTAATAGCTATTTGATGACATAGTTTGATTCGTAATGTACAGATGGCACCACGTTTCAAGAGATTATCTCGTTTTATTAACGTTATATTAAGGTAATTTTGACTTAACTCGATTATTGTCGTACTAACCTCTTACTGTTAATTTAACTACGGTGCTTATACCAGATCCTATTCCATTACTAGCTTGGCACATGTAGTAACCGCTATCAGATTTTTCTACGTGTCGTACTGATAAAGAGCCATTACTCATCATGTGTATGTGAGCATCTGTTAATAACGTTTTATAATCGCTTGTCAATGAACCTAAAAGTAAAGTTTACAAAAATTTTATCTGATACTTATTCTGATAATAAACTATCTTGGGAGAAGTATATGTCATACCTTCTGCTCGTTTCCATATTATTTGAGGTTTGGGAAACCCATTTGCTTTGCAATTCAGTAGAACATCTGTTCCTAACACAGCTGCTGTGTTAGTAGGCTCTAACGTCCAGCGCGGAGGTGCTATAAAAATATAGTAAAATTAAATTATATATTTATACTTTAAACCGAGTATTAAGTTTATAATTTCTAGTTAAAACTCTAATAACAGTTACAACAATTTAATGAAAAGTTGACATTCATCGATGTAATCTGATTACAAAAATTCAAATTAATAGAAAGATAAATGGTTTTTTTACCAGAATTTTAACGTTAATGTATATTATTTTTGTTTTAAAATATATAAAAATGGCTAAATTATTAAAAATACGTCATATTTTTATTATTTTCATAAGACTTTACTGATAATCAATATACGCTTCAATATTTATAATGTAATTGTGAGAAGTGAATAAGACTATAAAAATAAAAGGAATTTGCCTAATTTATTAAAAATATAAGAATAAAAAGGTGAATTTTTTTTAATGTTTTACAATTAAAATCTTATAATGATTAAATTTCTTATCATAAAAGTAATGACCAATACAATTATAAAAAAAATTAAATTAGTTGAGCTTTAATTCAAATATAAAAAGCTTTGAATGAAAATAAAATAATTTTTATAATTAAAACACGCATATATATAAATATATAAAAGAAATTTATATTTTTAATTTTATTAACTTCATTATGGATCATCATATATGCTCAATAATCCATGAGTGGTAGAACCCGGACAACGTCAAGTAAAGGATTGCCCAATAGAGACCCAGTTTGTATCTGGTGCCATTATGGTAATCATAAAAGCCCATTGAGAACCTCAAAAACGACAGCCATAATTGGATAGTAGTCAAGTTTGGAGAATTTAAGATGGTAACCCACCACTAAACTAGTTGCAGATGAATGGTACCCATCTTGACTGACTGGCTTTATCTACTCGAAACCACGAAGATGCTTCATACCGGATTGTCTCAAGAAGAAGATTGATTTCATTATAAATATATTTAATGAGACTTTGTTGTTAATCATCACAAAATTAACAAAGATTGATTAAATTAGATATTTCCAGAAAGTGGAATATTTTTAATAATGAAAATTATTGATTGAAACATAAATATACATATATACTAAAGTTAAAACACATCATACATTATTAAATTTCATATATTTTCATATTAAAATGTATAGCAATTACGATATTTTAATAAAATTCTGCTGCATATTAGCATAAAATTTAAAAAGTCGGTATAAAGGAATATTTTATAAAAAAAATTTAATAAAACGAATAAAAAAATGTTTTAGTAATAATTGAGTATTCTATAGCAAAAATTCAATATGTTACTTTTATTAATTCCGAATTTATTCATGTTGAAATAATAGGCAATTAACGATAGAATAAACTTCATTCAGTTTAAATATTCCTCCAAGGTATAATTCCATTTCTATATAATAAGCAATTTTATACTCTAGATCTTTTAATCGAACTAAACTTTTCATTTTTGTTATTTTGAAAAGTTGTCCTTTCCGAGAAATTTTCTGAATGATTAAGCTTTACAAAATAATGTAAATATTTAAAAAATTAATTATAAATTGTTTATGATATCCGATTCTGTGAATCAGATTCAGAATAATGATGATGACAAAGAATAGGAAAGAATGGAGAGTAAGGAGAAGAGAAGGAGAGGGGAAAAAAGATTTTTATAGAATTTTCGAATGCATTTTCAATCCGAGTTTTCTAATGACATTTCTTATTCTGTAGATGGAAATAGGAGAGAGATTCATTGCAGTGGAAAGTGACATTTCAATATACCAACTACTTACAGAATTTCGTTCTTTTCTGCAAGTTTGTTAAAAGAAAAAAGAAAAAAAAAAGGATATATTGTTAGTATTCTATAAGATGGTATGCCTTGAAGGAATGTTTCCTGAATTTTATCACTGAGTTCAATAAGATTTGAAAATCTTTTATCCCTTTGTTTTGTTGATATTTGGGATTTTATAATATATATCTTTCCATATATATATTACAAGATTAGAGTAAAATTGAAATGTTATTCTTAACATAAAATATATACATATAAAAATATATGGATACATATACAACATCAAACGACGAATAAGAAAATAATTTTTTTTTAGTTTTATTAAAATTCTTTTGGAATTTTAAGAAGTTTCTTCAAAATATAAGATTTTTCAGGACCACTTCAATTGGTTTTAGAGTTAAAATAAGAAAAACACGAAAAAATTTAATAGTAATATATTGAATAAATTCTAAACTATTGAAGCATTGGGAATATTTTCATGAATTTGATTATACATGCAAATTTTTCTTGTTTTTTTTAAACTATTGTTATAAAGTAACAGTATAGATAGATACATGTATATGTTTAATATAACAGTCAAAGAATTTAATAATAGTTTTAAAGAATGTTATTAAAAATATAATTTAGTTTTTTAGTTTATAATATTGATGTTCTGTAGTTTTATCTGTATTTATTTTTTTCTGTTCTTTAGCAAAGGACTTTAAGAGTGTTGTTCTGTGTGAAGTAGAGCGAAGGAATTGATTGTTTTCACCTCCAACGATGCGTTGTCATACTCCCAGATCAAGAATTTTCAATTTATCATTTTTTTCTATATTTTCTATTTTTTCTTATATTTTTCTTCGTACAAAGTAACAAACTAATAAAATTATAACTATAAGAAAAATTATCATAAATCAAAAATATTTACTGTAAACAATGTAGTCAGAACAATTTACTAAACATCCCTTTGACGAATTGTTAAGAGATTAAAGCTTCAATCTAGCATTACCAATAAATGCCAACTGAATAATGGACTAATATTAAGTTAATCAAAAGCACTTTTGATGATAAAATGAATCTTTAAACTTTCCTTTTCAAACTAATAAACTAATTACAACTTCGCAGTGTATTGTTACTAATTACAGAACCTGTGTTATCAAAACGATTAATTAAACTGCATAATGGTAAATGCCAGATCTCCCATGAGTCTTGGAATAATATACTGTATATCTAATGGGGATTCAGATGAAAATTTAAGAGTTTTATTATGGCTGATTCTATTTCTGAAGAAAAATACTTTATGAATTACATTTAAAAAATAATAATTATTCTACTTTAATAACATAATAAAATTAATTTATAACAGTTATAACACGCTTCATTAATATTAAAACGAAAATTTCTTGATAAAAATATATATTAAAATGCTTTTTAGTACAATATACTAGAACGAATTATTATTATTATTTTAAGCATTTTTCCAATTTTAAATTAAAAATCAAAGTAAAATAATTCAAAATCGTCTTATAATAATTTACTACACATTTATTATGTATTTTCTTTATTTTCGTAATTATTAATCAATATTTAATTACAATAAAGAACTTTTAGGTTAATGAAGAATGTTAACAAGAAAAAAAATTTAAATAATAGAAAAATCTGTTATATTAATCTCTAGCTGACTTATTAATCTCTCGAATATGATCGAATGATACCGAATTTACTTTGGAGTGCATTCAAAATTTCTAGAAAAATTGAATACTCGAAAGCCATAGAAATATCCGCCTACAATGTAATATTCTTGTCATTATTCTTGCAACTCGAATGACGGCTTACCATTTTTTTTCCTCTGATGCTACAATATTTGAAATATTATTTATAATAAATTTTCTTACAGAAATTTCATTGATAAATGAAAGTGGAGTATAATCTATTAGCTTATGAATTATGTTTACTTCAATCTTTTCCTTCTTAAAAACACTTTTTCCAATAAGTCATTAAACTAATAAATGATATTAACGATAATATATATATTATTGTTATATTTATTTATTTATTTTATTTAATTTATTTATACAATTATCGAAAATATATTGTAAATTTTATTTCGATATAATATTTTTGTTAATAATTAAAGATTTAAACGTAAATTTAAACTAGTAAACATGAAAATACAGTATTTCGTTATGAAAGAAAAGAAAACAAATGAGTATGAAGAATATAATCAATGTTGTTGGCAGTGGATCAATGCAATCAGTGAATTGAACTGTTTTTCTCATACAAGTAGGATTACTTGCTAAGTAACTACAGATTACAAGAAAGTAGTTTTATATATTGTATTTTTTTTATCAAGTCAAAGTCAATTGATAATTCAATCATCTTGAATTCTTATTGAATTTATTATTCTTTCTATTATTATTAATTTATTTAGAAAGTGACTAAAATATTTAAAATACAGACAAAAATTTAGTATTTATGAATATTTTTTTATTTTCAGTTTTTTTATAGTCACTATATCATTTATTTTAAAATATATTTTAGAATATTAAATTTAATATAAAAACGATACGGGCTTATATTAAATTAGATGTATACTAATAAATAATTATATATTCATTAGCATAATTATTCATATTCTTAAGAAAAGTAAGTAAGAAACTATTCTATAAATGTATTTTGTATGAATACGTTTGCTATATTATGCAGAGACATTTCAAATTTAAATCATAAAAAACTCAGCCCCAGTCATTTGCTTTCAAGTACAGCCTTCATAATCAAACCATCAAACTTTATCACCGTCTGTATTACTGACTGAATTAATTTACCACACTTTTAGATGCAAATATTAGTATCCAAAACTGTACATATATAAAAAAAGCTAATGTACTCGTCTCACAAAGTTTTTGCATAAAAAATATGAATGCAATATGGCGCGACCAATTTTGAAATGCAAATTGTAAATACAACTCAGTTGATAGCGATAAATATTAATAATATTCCCAATTTTGATATTGAATTTTTTATGAAACTCAATACGTGTCATCGAGATAAAATAATAAATCTTTGTTTCGTAACTGATTTTTTTTATATAAAATCATTTTGTCGGTTATAATGAATATAGTATATTTGGCTCAGTAACAAAATTAAGAACAATGATATAATAAATCATTTACAATATATATTAAAACTGACATAACTAAGGAAATACTAATTTACTATATTATAACTGTAGCTGTAGAAAGTGACGATTTCTATATTATTCTGTGATATTTTAAAAGTTTAATT